CCTCTTTGGCCCCCCTGGGCCATGTGATCATGAGGTCCTTGCGAGGACCTTGCTATCACATGGACGGCATAGCCGTCCAAGGCATTGCCAACAGGGGGAGTGCCTGTAATGACAGGTAATCCCCTTGCTGCCTGAAAATAAAATAAAATAAGTTAATACAGTGTAAAAATAAATAATACATACTTAGATCATATATATCTTTATTATATATATGATCTAAGTATATATATATATATATATACACATATACACACATACACATACACTGTCTAAGTATTTTAATATTAATGTATACATAATTATATATATTAATATCAAAATACACGTTCAATGATATTGATTACATATATAATTTTCATTATATATATATATATATTTATATATAATAAAAATAAATAAATATGTAAATACATTAAAAAATAAAATTAAAAATATAAATAAATAAAAAATATATATACATGTGTAATTTCGTTCTAACTATATTTTAAAATTAATATATATATATATATATATTGATATCAAAATACATGTAGAACAAAATAATATATATCTATATACATAAGTATATACGTATATATATCACTATATATATATATATAATATAATAATTCTACGTATATATTTATGTAATAAATCATAAAAAAGAAAACGGAAAGTCTGTCCTATAAAATATAAGAACAAATCACTAAATATAAGAAAAAGCAGTTAAAATTGTTTACTTTATTTAACAAATCAACAAAAAAGGAAGGAAAAGGAAAAAAGAAACCCACATTTACAGATAAGAATTACCAAAAAGAGGTAAATTCTTTGCACAGTGATAGCCGATGCAACAATGTATCAAAAAAAGTATCTGGGACTGTGTGATGTAACTATAAATTTGTTACATGAGAATCAGATAATATTAAGCAAAATCAACAGTGCAAACAATAAAAGACATACAACACACTCAAAACCATCAATTAGGATTATTAACCTCTACAGTCCGCCAGATATTAAGACTGTAAGAATAGTATATCAGCAAAGAGGCTTACAATTCGCTAAATCCTGTTGTCAGTCCTCAGAGTGTAAATAAGGGCTGGCAGGGCATGTGAGAAAAAGGTTAATAATGGAAAAAATTATTATTATAATTGAACTGCAAGCTCACTTCAATAAATAAACTCAGAACATATGATGGTGTATATGTATATGACGGTGTATATAAATCTATGCAGCAAAGAGAATGCTAGTAAAGAGATGCTATATAAATAATAAAATAATAATAATAATAATAAAATAATAATAGTCATATCATAAGGTGAACCCCCACAGAATAAATCCATGGGAGTCACCAGAGAATTATCTGTACATTTAGTATGTGTGTATATGCTATCTAACTGAGATTCCAAATGTGGACAAAGTGGGTTAATAATGCATAAAAATTCTTATTCTTGGACTACCATATGGTCTCAAAGGCAACGTAACCAATCTGGCAAATTTCAATGTGAAATTTTTTTTTAAAAAGTAACATGCTATATTTGACCCTGTAACTTCCCAAAACACCATAAAACCTGTACATAGGCGGTACTGTTTTACAAGTGAGATATCGCTGAATACAAATATGTGTATTTTTATTGCAGTAAAAGCAAACAGTATTTTGACATTCACAGCTAAAATGTCACGTAGAACTAAGAAAATTAATAAAAATCTTATTTTCTCATATTTTTTTTATATTTTATTCATATTAAATTATGTTCCATACCTAAATATTTGATGTTAAATGAAAGCCCTGTTTCCCCTGAATAAAATGATATATAATAAGTGTGGGTGCATTTAATATGAAAGAGGTGAATTATAGTTGGACAGACATATAGTGCAAATGCCAGGTTTAGTTTACGTTTTGTTTTGATCACAACTTGTACATTTGGCTGCGGTCTTAAGGGGTTAAAGGGACAGTGTAGCCACCACAACATTAGCCTAATTAAGCAGTTTTGGTGTACATATCATGTCCCAGCAGTCTTACTGCTCATTTCTCTGCCATGTATGTAAAATGCCCAATCTTCATAAATACTTCCTGTAATATGAGATCTAACATTTATTATTGCATAATTTGTTTAAATGAAGATTATGCTATCTTTAGTGCACTTATAATCTAAATTTGAATAATACCAGGAGGTGAGACTTGTAAGGGGCCGTAAATAAAAATGTAACAGTGAAGCGTCAAAACCACACACAATTTAGGATCCAAATGAACAAATGGATAAGAATCCGATTAAGAGGCAGGTTTCATACTACAGTAACACTGGAAAACTACACCTCCATAAAAAGCATGCACACCTGGCACTCTTCGAAAGAAACATTAAAAAAAGTAAGCTTCTTTGACAACTGTCATGAGGAAAGATTCTCATTGTACAGTCAATCTTGTAAAAAAATGCTATAGAGACATCCCATATATGAGAGTATCTAGGCTCAGAAGTACATTTTAAGCAAATACTTCTCATCAATCGACAAACGTCCTTACCTACAGGAACACCAAGGACTGGAACCAAAATTGCTGAACGCATCATGTTAAGGAAGTGGTAAGAACGTCCGGAAGAAAAAAGAGATGATCTAGAATGGCAGAGATAGGTGAAATGTTGGCATTAGAATGGGATTGGATCATCATATGACAGTTACCAGAGAACCAGAAACCATGGTTGGCTGTGCCACATTGGAGCAATCAGAAGGATGAACATCCATTGCCTGTAAAGTTGTTGAATCACAATTGCTATCACTCTGAATAAAGAAAGCGTCCAATCTTGGAGAATGCTCTCAGAGTCTGGTAGTCAACTGTAGAATGTTGGTAGCTGCCTGTTGTTCCAGGAAGGAAATAGATCAAAAAAGGAGGAAATAAGAGAGTATACTGTCACATGCAACATCCAATCACTGTAATCCTGCAAAGTCTGGAAAACCAATCTGCCGTGAGATTTATTATCCCTGGTAGATACTCTGCTTGTAACATGATGATGAGGGGTAGGCAAAAAGTGCAAATGTCTTTGGTAGTAGTTTACAACAATAGAGATTGATGTAGCAGGCTTCAGAGATGTCCATTCTCTGTAGAATGCAGCCATCACCTGGTCGAGCTCAGAATGGCAAAGGGGACATGGAAGTATGAGGCTATGCCCTAAAGAAGGTAATTATATTTCCTCCATTCCAGCCATCAAGTGGACACATGATCAGACAGCCAACCCGGGAACCGTTGCCAGCAACAAAAGCAACAATGCCAACTGTAGCGTGAACTTTAAACAGAAGGCTGGAACAAACCCCACCAGCCAAGGGAAGGAAGCAAGTTTGTAACATGCTTCACTCAGCCCATGTGCATCATTCCTCTGCCAAATATAATAAGAAGGAGATTGCACACTAGATTGCTCCTAAGAGATACAAATACGTGTTTTATTAGACCACATAGGTTATAACAAATACAAAGCAAAACATCAATTGGAGCATTATTACTTAATTCAATATAATAAAAATAAGGCAAACAAATTAATCAATGGCAATAACCACAACTTACACAAGCCTATTCTGGTAGAAACATGAGCCCTGAATACCCCCGTTTCGGCACCTCCTGGCTGCCTTTCTCACCCTTGAACGTTGGGAGTATTAGGGGCTCGTGTTTCTGCCAGAATAGGCTTGTGTAAGTTGTGGTTATTGCCATTGATTAATTTATTTGCCCTTTTTTTGTTATATCGAATTGAGTTATTATGCTCCATTTGATGTTTTGCTTTGTGTTTGTTATAACCTATGTGGTCTAATAAAACACGTATTTGTATCTCTTAGGAGCAATCTAGTGTGTAATCTCCTTATTATAATTGATTTTGTTTGGGCATTTGAGGGAGTGCTGTGGAGTATTGGCACCTGGTTATATATATATTGCAGCTTACGATCTCTCCATATGGTGTTTTTTTAATATCATTCCTCTGCCAAGGCACATCATCTCTGACAGGCGTCTCACAATTTCTTCAAGGCTACAGTGAGCCAGGTCTGAAGATGCAAGTAGGCCCAGACTGCTGGTGTCTCTGCACAATAGAGCAATAAGCTTCATAATAAAGCTAATAGAGCAATCAGCTTCATACTGACTTCATATTGAAGCTGAGTATTTCCCCTAATAAAATCTGGCAATACATCAGTCAGGTATTATTGCAGTCAGTAAGCACTATGTAGGGAACTGACTCTGTTGAGCTTTGAACTCTGATTTCCATGTTGCTGGCCCTCTTAGTTTTCCATTGCACCAGTCTGCCTTTTGTAGATTTACTTGAGCCCCAATAACCTTGCCTCTACATGCCATGATATAAGTACCAGCTCTCTTCAGCTGTGTCTGTCTCTTGGCCTATAAAGGCTACTTCCTGTGTCTGTATCTTTGCCAGATTATTGTGGTCCCTGTGACCCTCTAATCAAGTGTGTTTCTGTTTGTTATACCTGTTGCTGAATTTGGATTGTCTGACTTTGCTGCTTCTCTTTTCCACTGACCTAAGCTTGACTTACCACGTTAAGACCAGATGGCCACTCAAGGCTCAGGGGCTCAACCACGTGGGTAACGAGTGGATACTTCTGGCCAAAAACCTTGCTGATCTGGCTGCTGGACTCCAAACCCTAAATAACATCAGTATTATGACACGGTATCTCAGTCTATTTTAGGGGCTTGAGCTATAAAAATGGCCTCCTACCCTGCCTGGTCTGTTACTTTTGAATTCTATGACAATATATACATTGAATTCTCCATTTTACATGTGTATTGTATGCGCATTTTACTAACTTTGATAAAAAAAGTATATAAAATGTATATGAGTCTGCATGGCACTGTGTAATTCTGCTACAGTATGCTTTTCTATGTATATTTTGCATGAATGTACACTCAATAACGTACTATTTGAAAGAAAATGAACCTTATAAGAGCAATATGAAGAAAAAAGTCAATAAGATTTTATTGAGCATAGAATACAAAAACTAGTATCATTATTAATATTATTATTATTATTATTATTATGATATTTATAGAGCGCCGTCAAATTCCGCAGCCCTTTACAATGGGTGGACGAACAGACATGTAGTTGTAACCAGACAAGTTGGACACACAGGAACAGAGGGGTTGAGGGCCCTGCTCAATGAGCTTACATGCCAGAGGGAATAGAGAATAGAGAATAGTATGAATACAACCAAACACTAGTATCCTAGAGAGTTGGGGAAAATTCATAACAAACAAAATGTACCTTTATTTTCTAGAAGAGTAGGTAATTATTAGTTATACCTTATACGCCATGGAAAACATGCATGTCTTTTTTTTCTGTGGGTTTTCTTTAGGGGTATAAGGAAAAACAAAAAAAAACTGCAAGAGCTACAAATCTGCTATCTGCAGCCTTTGCAAGCCCCCCTCTTTCAATAGCACAGACTTTCTTGCTGAAGCCACAAGCGTGCATGCACACTTGGTCGTGGCTTTCCTGTGCTTCTCAATGAGCTGTAGTACAGCTTATTGAGAATGAAGAAAGGTTGGCATGCTCTAGCCCAGGGCACTTGACGATCTATTACTTCTGTGGAGCTAATGGATGTGGAAGAAAACCTCTCTGGCTATCTGAATGATGAGGAGGACAAAGGTAATCATTATTTCATTTTTTTTCTCTTCTCTTTATTCCTCTATGCTGAATACTAGGTCTAAAGAACAGAGTTCATAACAATGACTGACAAGGAGGTGGGTGCTCATTTGTCGGCTATAGAGATGTGGATTTCTAAATTTGATTTTATTTCACACACCTTACAAACATAATAAGGTGTCTATATATAGGAATATGTTAACATAATATTAACAATTCTGGGAATTAACAATTCCTCACTAAAGAAGAAATTATTATTTTTGCCCCATTCTGTTGTTTCTCCCATCCGATCTGCTGTTTCCACCAAACAAACCTGGTTTGGTCTGGACTTTTTGCCTTTATAGCATAGCCATAATTATGTTATTAGAGCATGGACTAGATAGGGTATTGATTGTGGGTTAAATAGGTTGGGTGAATGTTTATTATTTTGGGACATACTACAAGCATGTTGAATGCCACTATATGTGTTCAGTCCTGGCCAAATGTCATTCAAAGATTTTAATCAGTTTAGGAACTAATTATTGTAATGTTTGCACAAGCTAATTTGAAATCATCTTCATTAAACAGCTCCAGTTCCAAGAAGTAGTTACCCTAAAGAAATAAACATACAAAACTGTAAGATTAAAGCTTACATTTTAAATGCATAAGTATTAAACAAGAAAAGACAAAACTAAGAGAGATTACAGTATTATCGATTAGCGAGAATATATGTAAATCAAGGAGCCCTCTGCTTCCTTATATTGCTCCCAACAACTATAGAACCATGTGTTAAATAAGTTTTTGAATATACAAAACTGGAGATGCATGTGAAGAAAGAAAATTTAGGTAGCCATAATGGGTTTTCACTAGTCTGGGGGATTGATTTGCTGGCTATAATAAGATCTGCATAGATATCAGTAACTCTGCAACAACACAGTTATAACATGTATCCTTTTTGTGTTTAGTATATATTAACAGCTTCCCAACCTTATATATTCAGTGTATGGGGCTCCACTCTGTCAGCTAGGGCTAGGGTTAGTATTAGGATTAATGTAAGGGTATAGATAGGTTTGGTGTACGATTAGGGTTGGTGTAAGGTTAGTGCAAGGATAGAGTTAGTGATAGGGTAGGCTTAAAGGACCACTCTAGGCACCCAGACCACTTCAGCTTAATGAAGTGGTCTGGTTGCCTGGTCCAGCTAGGGTTAACCCATTTTTTAATAAACATAGCAGTTTCAGAGAAACTGCTATGTTTATTAATGGGTTAAGCCTTCCCCCTACCCTCTAGTGGCTGTCTCATTGACAGCCACTAGAGGCGCTTGCGTGCTTCTCACTGTGATTTTCACAGTGAGAGCACGCCAGCGTCCATAGGAAAGCATTGTAAATGCTTTCCTATGAGACCGGCTGAATGCGCGCGCAGCTCTTGCCGCGCGTGCGCATTCAGCCAGCGGGGCGTAACGGAGGAGGAGAGGAGGCAGAGAGCTCCCCGCCAAGTGCTGGAAAAAGGTAAATTTTAACCCCTTTCCCCCTTCCAGAGCCGGGCGGGAGGGGGACCCTGAGGGTGGGGGCATCCTCAGGGCACTATAGTGCCAGGAAAACGAGTATGTTTTCCTGGCACTATAGTGGTCCTTTAAGGTTAGCGCTAAGGTTAGTGTACAGTTAGAGTTAGTGTAAGCATGGGACTTAGTAAAGCGCCCATATTGGCTATCAGAGGTAAATTTAGAGGTAAATTTAACCCTAAGAAAGTTTCTAGAAAACTGTGATGTTTTACATTGCATGGTTAAAAGGACAGGGACACTGCACCCAGACCACTGCATTGAGATAAAGTGGTCTGAGTGACTTTAGAGTTCTTTTAATTACAGATATACATATACAATAAAAAAAAAAAATAATATATATATATATATATATATATATATATATATATATATATATATATATATATATATATTGCATGGGTACACTTAAAGAGAGACCCTTAAATTTCAGTTGAACAAACACATAGCACACATTTTAGATGTTGTTTTGGTTCACTTTGACAACTGCCTCTGTTCTTATTTTCTCCCAAGATTTCCACATTCTTCATTAAGGAATTATTAGTTGCCATTACAACCAATACTATACCTGTTTTTTAACCCTGTGTTATAACCATAATAAAAGATTGGGGTGGGTATTTTACACTGAGCCACCAATGACCTTCATCTGGGGCATATGGTGTTCTAATTTTGTCAACTCAGAATTACATAACCTTGAATTGCAAATTTTTTTTATTTGTAGTAATTTTAATTTCATGTATTATCAAGGTAAATTTAGACATAAACAGTGGCGACCCAGTTTATTAGATATTTGACACTGCTCTTTCCACAGTATTAGAATATCTCAAACCAGTTGGCGAATGCTGAACACAAGTTACAGCTAAATGTGAGTTAATCAGACATTCCCTTAATATTATAATATTATATCAACAAACAAGAACTAGAAGTTTGAGGTTTAAAAACATATATATTGCACTAGCAGATATTCTAGTACATAGTCAGATCTTAAAAGATAAAGATAAAAATTACTTTTAAGTTTGACTTTGAATTGCAATTCCCTCCTTAAAATATTTGCCCTATAACTTCTGGAAATGAATTTAAATCCTAGACATATTAGGCTTTTTAATAATCAAGACTAATATGTGATACTCTTTGGAGTTATTTTGTTTAGTTGCTCTATTGATATAGACATTATCATGAGCTGTAAAAAATGTGTCTTCTTTGGATTTTTTAAATAAATTTTTTATGGAATAATTCATTGCATGGAATTGAATTCATAAATCTGAATTATGATGATTAATTATGTATTTTAATAAACACGAGTCCTTCCATATTTACATAAACTGAATAAACAAATACATTTACTCACTTTGGGAATGATCAATAAATGAAATGTAACAGTCTGATCAATTTGAAGATATTCTAAATAAAGAAGAACATCTGTATTAGTATATCAAGTACTGAATATACATTTGGTATACAAAGGTTTCAATATATCAATACCAGTTATATTATATTTGATGTTTCTTACATATACAAAGGGGTCACAGCTCAAATCCTCAATTGCATTGTTCAGTTTCATCATGGGCTTCATCGGTTTCCTTTAAATCCATATCAATCTAAAAACCTGCGGATCTAACTCTATCATAGTTATGAGAATTCAAAGTGCTTTCCAGATTTAGAAAAAAAAAGTCCCGTATTTAGTACTCTCGATACCTGCAAGGGTTATAATCGTGTAAACCCAATTAGCTAGATTAGAAAAGTCTGGTGGTAGAGAAAATTAAAATGAATCAGGTTGCATTGGAGCATTAGTCCTAGATATTATATTGTCAAACAATGCGATAAAAGGGGTAGATACTGACATTGTGAATTATTTTTTTTTTTTTGGTTTTGTTTTTTAAATATGAAAAGTAACATCATCTGGAGTGATCTGCTATAGAAATTCATAGCTTGAGTATGAAATACTATTTTGAATGAAACATTTTGAATATTACTGCTCAACCTTTACCATAATTTCAAAAGTGTCAATTCCAATGCTTACATCCCTCGTGATATTTAGGTAAAGAAGCCTACTTTTACGCTAATCTTTCTCATCAATCAATACAATAAAGGATGGCTCACTATCTGAATGTTATGAATAGTAACATGAGCTGCTGAAATTATAAAACAATAAATGTTTAGCATTCTAGTCTCAACAGTAAATTAATTAAACTGATTGCATAACTAATTAAACCAGTTAGAAACAACCAATGACAAAAAAACTAAACCCCTCATCCCCCCCCAAAAAAACTGAATAATGCAAGACTTTTAAAATAAAAATGGACAAGTCATAACTGTGTAAATTAGTTATAATAATAATAAAAAAAAATTACAACATTTTTACAATAAGGTGTGGCAATTATTTATTGTGTAGGAAGCAACAAAGAAAGAGAAGGAATAATGTTTTGTATGTATGACTTATATATACTGTCCTGCATTCTGATTGGTTACTACAGCTTTCCTTTCTGTATTCCGGTTGCCACAGCTTTCCATTCATTGTGTGTATGTGTAATTTGTTTATTCTGTTATTTACACAGATTTTTGTTATTGCTTTGGGAGGAAATGCAGAAAGATTGAGCATAATATGAGTCTCCTGCCTGAAATAAAATTAAACTACTCAAATGCCTAATTAGGCATAAGTAGACTTAAACGCTTAAAACATCATATTAAATTACAATTGTAACAAGCATAATCATCAAGAGAGAGAATAAACAAAAAACAATATAGCATTACAATTTAAATTATAAAAACAAATGCTAATATTTTTTTACAAAAGGACAAATCTGGGCAAAGAGTTTTTTTTTTAACACAAGTGAATGGTATAGAAACCAAATGATATCCAAACAAGTTCCACAGTAAACAGTTCAGGAATGGCGTATAATCCAATAAGAAATCACCATTAAGCTAATACAGTGGCTAAAAGGGAGGGTGATGGAACTAATGTTTTGGGAGAGAGAGGGAGAAGGAGAAAACATGGAAGGGAGTAATAAGGGAAGAGCAAAGTGAAAGATGTATTAGTAGAGATAAGATCAAGGCAGTGGAATGACTAAGAGGAGACCCAGTTGGAACTTCTAATGCAAGAAGGTGCTATTATGTGTATCTAAGCAGTATGACTGAACGTGCATACTAACCATTCATTCCCTCTGCTGTGGAAAGCCATTAGTAAATTGTAGGATCGGTCTCTGCTACAGAGAAGGTTGCAGAGCCTTAGCAGCATTGATAATCTGTCTTGTTTGGCTTTGAACAATTGGGGAATTAGTAAAATGGAGCAATATTCTGCTGGACTAACCCTGGACTAGCAATTTCCGAAATTGTGACATGAACTGCTGACCAAAAAGAGTCAATACTAGGACAACTTCACCAGACATTCTCTTCCAGACCAACAGTGTACACATGGTGGAGGAGCTTAGGAGTATTATACCACTGGTTAAGTAGCTTGCAGTTTGTCTCCTATAATCTGAAACACAATGTGCCTAAAGGGTCAGGATGACAATTTTCGACCACTGGTCATTAGTATATTATCCACTCAATTTTAGACTCTTAGATAGCTGGGCCCCCATCACTGCTTTGAGCAACATATGCTATAGGGTGTATACTCCTCTCTATAAGGTCAGATTATCCCATAGTAGTGTCTGAGTTGGAATAATATGAATTGTTCCATCCCTGTTGGAGCCCTAAAGGAGTAACTGAATCCTGCATGAACAGTAGCACCGTTCCAATAGAGGCCATAAGGCCTCTATTCCCTTTGCCTAGAAACTCCAAGTGACCTGCATTTCCTGTGAGAAGTCCAGAGTTCATGAGAGGGGAAGGAGAGGGCCTAGTGTGGTTTTGAAATAAAGTGAATGTCTGATTGAGAACCAGACATGTATTGATCCCCCCACAGTGGCGTCATTGAGCAATTGTGTTGGGATATGTTTATGGTCAAGCCACACCTTGGGAAGAGTCAGTAGAATTCTCTCTAGAAACCCCACCTACTGTTTTGTTAGTTCCAGAATTGTGCCAGTTGACTCCCTGAAGGAGATGCATGGCTTGGTAATATCTGACGAGAAAAGGAAGACACATTTCACCCATTTGCTTTGAGACACAAAAGAGGTCAATGCACAGTTAAGAACCTTTTTCACAACCTGTCACATAGATACACAACCTGACACACACATTCAGATACACAGACACAAATATTAATAACATGCAGATACACATACTGACAACATACAGATACACCGAAACACACAAAGACAACATACAGATACACCGATACACATCCTGACATACACAAATATACAAACAATGACACACATGCAGTTACACAGACACACACATACACACCTGACACACTTACAGATACACAGATACACACACAGACTTCATACAGATACACACACATATATTCACACTGACATACACACACAATGACAACATATAGACACACACAGATATACAGACATAGAGACAGACAAACTGACACACACACATACATTGATAGACATACTTACACAGACACATAAACTGACAGACATCCTGACACATAGACAGACATATACTGAGAGACACACAGACATACTGACACACTGACAGACACACTGACAGACATGCTGACACATTCACTAACACACACACACCGACATACTGACACAAAGAGCCATACTAATACAGACATGCACACACTGACACACACAGACACATACACTAACTGACATGTTGACACACACACACATATGCTGACAGACATCTTGACACACATTCACAGATGCGCACACAGGCATACTGACACGCCGACAAATACACTGACATGCATATTGACACACACATATACTAAGACATACTGACATACATTCACAGGCATACTGACACACACAGGCAAACATACTGACACATACACTGACAGACATACTGACATATAGACATATACAGAGACATTCAAAGATACACACACACATATTGACACACACTGGCAGACATACTGACACATACACTGACAGACATAATGACATACACACAGGGCCGGCCTTAGGGGTGTGCGAGGTGTGTGGCCGCACAGGGCACCATGAAGCAGGGGGCGCCATGCGGCTGACATAGCTCACACATGGCCGGCCGGGATAAAAAAAAACAAAAACGTGGTGGGGGTTACCTGCAGTGGGGGCGGGGCTTACCGTGCGGTGGAGCGAAATGTGCTGTGTAACTGCTGCAGGGGAAGCAGAAAGGAGTCCCTGCTTCCCTCAACAAACAAAATCCAGGAGCTGCACTGTCTGTCTGCCTCCACAAGGAACGGAGGTAAATATGTGTGACTGTGTGTGTGTGTGACTGTCTGCCTGTGTGTGTGCGTGTGTGTGACTGTGTGTGACTGTCTGTGTATTTGACTGTCTGACTGTGTGTGTGTGTGACTGTCTGTGTGTTTGACTGTCTGCCTGTGTGTGTGAATGCCTGTGTGTGACTCTCTGCCTGTGTGTGACTGTATGTTTGACTGTCTGTCTGTGTGTGTGACTGTCTGTGTGTTTGACTGTCTGCCTGTGTGTGTGACTGTGTGTGTGTTGACTATCTGTGTGTGTGTATGTGTGTGTGTGTGAGACTGTCTGCCTGTGTGTGACTGTCTGCCTGTGTGTGACTGCCGTGCCTGTGTGTGACTGTTTGCCTGTGTGTATGTGACTGTGTATGTGTGTGTGTGTGACTGTCTGCCTGTGTGTGCGTAAGACTCTGTATGTGTGTGGCTGTCTGCCTGTCTGTATGTTATGTGTGTGTCTGTCTGCCTGTGCGTGTATTTGCGAGCTGTCTGCCTGTGTGTGTGTATGTATGTGTGTGTGTGTGTGTCTGTCTGTGTGTGCTTGACTGTGTACGTGCTGTGTGTGTGTGACTGTGTGTTTGACTGTCTGCCTGTGTGTGTGTGTGTGGCTGTACCTGTCTGCCTATGTGGTATGACTATCTGTGTGTTTGATGTTGTGTGTGTGTACTGTCTGTGTGCGTGACTTCTGCCTGTGTGTGTGTGACTATCTGTGTGTGTGTGTGACCGTCTGCCTGTGTGTGTGTGTGACTGTGTGTGTGTGACTGTCTGCCTGTGTGTGTGGCTGTGTGTGTGTGTGTGTGGCTGTCTGCCCTTTTGTGTGGCTGTCTGCCCTTTTGTGTGTGTGTGTGACTGTGTGTGACTGTCTGTGTGTGTGACTGTCTGTGTGTTTGACTGTCTGCCTGTGTGTGTGTGTGTGCCTGCCTATGTGTGATTGTCTGGGCACACTAGATGGGTCGAATGGTTCTTATCTGCCGTCACATTCTATGTTTCTAGGTCTGCTGTGTGTGTGTGTGTGTGGCTGTCTGCCTCTAGGTGTGTGGCTGTCTGCCTGTGTGTGGCTGTCTGCCTTTATGTTTGTGTGCGGCTGTCTGTGACTGCCTGCCTGTGTGTGTGTGTGTGTGTGTGTGACTGCCTATGTGTGACTGTCTGGACAGACTAGATGGTCCGAATGGTACTTATCTGCCATCACATTCTCAGTTTCTATGTCTGCCGTGTGTGTGTGTGGCTGTCTGCTTCTGTGTGTGTGGCTATCTGCCTGTGTGTTTGTGTGTGGCTGTCTGTGTGTGACTGCCTGCCTGTGTGTGTGTGTGTGTGTGGCTGTCTGCCTATGTGTGTGACTGCCTATGTGTGACTGTCTTGGCAGACTAGATGGGCCGAATGGTTCTTATCTACTATCACATTCTATGTTTCTATGTCTGTGTGTGTGTGGCTGTCTGTGTGTGACTGCCTGCATGTGTGTGTGTGGCTGTCTGTCTGTGTGTGTGTGTGATAGGGTGTGTGGGATGGGGGGAAGGAGTGGGGGTAGGGGCGGCGGGAAGGGGTGGGTGCTGTAAAGATTTTTCGCACAGGGCGCCCAAAGGATATTCACAGATATACACACACTGGCAGACATACTGACACACACACAAAATTTACACTATTAAACCCACCCTCCAGTTTCCTACCTTGGAGGGTGACTTTCCCACTGGTGGCTGAAGCTGTTGGGAGTTGGGGTCTGGCTAGCTCGGTCCAGACCCCCTCTGCTCAGCCACTCTGCCTCTTCCTCCGCTCGCGCGGCTCCTCTCTGTGACTTGCGGCCATCACTTCCTCCCAGACGGCTGCCAAAAAGCAAGAGGGCCCTGCTGACAGAAGCCCACCGGGTGGCCCTTAATGCTTGGGTCACCCGGTGGGCCTCCTTACTGTGCAGCTGCACCGGTGGGTGGGAGAAATGCTTGAGGCCAGCGGGGCCCACACATACACAACGGGGAAACATGTTGTAAGCTAATGTTCAGTGTGGTTTTGATTTGTGTTCTCTGTATTCCTTTAAAGGCATTCTTAATCACTTGCATAGTAATCCTGAAAAACATATATTTCTACTTTGTCTACGGCAGTCTTATATAATACCTTTGAGTAATCAATAAAACAAATCAAAATTACAGCAACTTACAAATGTGTTATACTGTTTTCTCAGTCTAAAATACCAGATAAACTCTGGAAAACTCCACTATGCACTTCTGTGTAATTCATGTGTAAAATCAAAGTCTGAAGCAGAAAATTAAACCAATTAAACTGAGTACATATGCTATGTATCAACATGACCTCTTCCAATGTGACTTTAAATTACACGATAAAGTACTTAAATGGACACTATAGTCACCAGAACAACTACAGCTTATTGTATTCTGGTGAGTAGAATCATTCCCTTCAGGGGCATTATGTGTGGTATGTGGTGTTGGCTTTTTGTTGTAAATATTGTCTTTTCAGAAAAAATGCAGTGTTTACATTACAGCCTAGTGATAACTCCACTGGCCATACCTTAGATGGCTGCTAAATCTGCTTCATGGGGCAGTGCTGCAGAGTAACTATCACTGCCATTCAGTGTCTCCACCCTCTACATGCAGACACTGAACTTTCCTCTTAGAGATGCATTGATTCAATTCATCTCTATGAGGAGATGCTGATTAACCAGGTCTGTGTTTGACTTGTGCTGGCTGTGCCCCTGACCTGCCTCTTTGACAGTCTCAGCCAATCCTATGGGGAAGCATTGTGATTGGCTCAGACCATCACTTCTGGTGATGTCAGCAGACAGAGGCAGCTCAGGGCCGGAGGCAGCCGCTACAGACTTGAATACAAGTAAGATGTTACTTTGTTTAGGGAGGCAAGGGGGATCAGGGGGTCTAGATGGTGGTTTTAACACTATAGGGTCAGGAATATATGTTTGTGTTCCTGGTCCTTTAGTGTTCATTTAACCCCTTAAGGACACATGACATGTGTGACATGTCATGATTCCCTTTTATTCCAGAGGTTTGGTACTTAAGGGGTTAAAGTACAAAAGGAGCTTACTGATTTATCTAATGCCATACAATTCTAAAAGTAGTTAATGAAATTTAGCATAGCTAATGTCATATGTTATACTCATTAAGGAAGTCTTGTTGAAATAATAAATTGTGTGAATAGGCGTTTAATAGATAAACAGTTGTTTTGCTTTGTAGTATATTTAATTATATTGTGTTTTACATGAAATATGAGTTCATATTAAACCAAAAGATAATTTGCATTATTGAGAATAAAGCACTGCATTTCAGCAAACCTTTCAAGTTTTAGTTGAATTGTCTCTTTAGATAAACCACATCTAATTACCTTTTCACTCCACTTTTGCATAAATATTTTAATTACCACTATAAAAAATCTAACATTTATATAAAATGTTATTTAAAAATATATTTTAAAAAATACTGATCGACAGTAAGCAGAAGGAAACCAGTGTAGCAATTCCAATTGTATTTTATAGAGTATATTTAATAAAAAGTGAACGATAAATGAGAATAGAAGAAAACAGAAATTAATAGAATAGAGCTTCATTACAGGCATTCCTCCATATCCCAACACATAATGTTATAGGAGATGTTTCTAGAGTAAAATGTAGTAAGGTAAATGACAGAAAACATTTTCCTTTATTACTCTGTCAGTGGTTCCCAACTCAGTCCTCAAGTAACCCCTAACAGTCCAGGATTTAGGGATTACCCAGTTGTGTTTAAAGTGTTTTTAGAAATAGAAAAAAAAAAACAGACACAACAGGGTAATCCCTAAATCCTGGACTGGTAGGGGTTACTTGAGGACTGAGTTAGGAATCACTGCCAGATCCTTAAGGACTAGGTTGGGAACCCTTGCTCTGTGTGATCTATGTGTCCTCAAAACATAGTGAAATATATGAATTTCCCCTAATCATTTTGTACAAACAGTAGATAAAATGCTATTAGTATTTACTATTTTGTTTATGGCAGAGCTGGCCTCTAGCATACTAAGATTAAAGGTACACTACAGTCACCAAAACAACTTTAGCTCAAAGAAGCAGTTTTGGTGTATAGGTCATGCCCCTGCAGTCTCACTGTTCAATTGTCTGCCATTTAGGAGTTAAATCACTTTGTTTATGCATCCTTAGTCACACATACACTCATGTGACTTGCAGAGCCTTCCTAAACACTTCCTGTGAATAGTAATCTAATGTTTACACTTCCTTTTTGTAAATTCTGTTTATTTTAGAATTTCTTATCTCCTACTCTGTTAATAGCTCGCTAAACCCTGCAGGAGTCTCCTTTAAGTGATTCAAATTTAATGTACAGAGCAAGAGATAAAAACGTTTAAAGTATGTTATATCTGATTGAAAAGAAAACCATTTTGTTTTCATGCAAGCTGTGTCAGTTACAGCCAGGGAAGGTGTGACTAGGGCTGCATAAACAGAAATAAAAGTGACTTGGATTCCAAATTGAGCAGTGAAACTTCAGAGGAATGATCTATAACCAAAACTGTCTTCCTAACCTAAAATTAGTGCATGGCACTACAACTAGCTTTCTCTCCTTCTAACCAGTATGTGATATGTGGGGTGTAATCAATACCCTAGCCAATTGTTTATATACTTTCTACATATCTATATTTTATATAACCATATTCACTTAATAAAAATATATTCTGCATACAAATGCAGCTTATTACAAACGTATTATTTTATGTTACCACACAGACTGTGAGATATTTGACATATTTAGAGATTTTGCCCTAAACTGCATATTTCTATGCACTATAGTTAATTAATGGCTTTATTTTTCATAAACAGGCTCCTAATCCACTGAGTATAACATTGAGAAGGTAAGGAGAAATGCAGTTTTTAATAAACGTTCATAAACGTTCATAAAGTAAAAAAAGACATGGCTGTAGGATGCACAGAATGATTTTTTCGGACTAGTTTGTGCAGTGCAAAATCATTGATAATAATTAGAGAAATCTAAATGTGAAACATTTATAAAATGTACCACAATGTAAAAATCCAGAGCTATCCTTTAAAAAATATGTTACTTAGGCCCGCAGTACTCTGCTTACTTTCTGTGTAATAACTGTTTAATCTCACTCAATGAGAGTTGCAGCCCAATTGTTACCAAATTCTTCCTTACAGTCAATGTTCTTATAGTACATACTGTACTTACCTCCCTTTTTTCTCCCGCAAAATGAATATCTTTTATCTGCATCATCACAAATAAGTTTTTTAACAGCTATTAGGTACTTTCCATCGTAGGAGAGTTTCAGAACTGTTCTCATTTTATTTGCATCCCGACCTAAAACCATACATGAATAAATAAATAAATAAACATGCACATATTTATATATTAGTGTTATCCATTATTAGTGTTATACATTAGTGTTATTCATTATGCCCTTAAATTAATTATATGATTGAAATAGATGCATATATTATGTAGGAAATCTAAAATGTGTTTTTAGAGCCATGCATAAGAGTTAGTTTCCAGATGATTCAAGTATAGTGATTCTACTTGTGGTTTAAGGAAGACTCCGTAGAATCTTTGAAATTTTTACATTTTTATTAGATTACAGCCCAAAGAAAAGATGCATTTTCTCCGTATTTTCTTTGTGGGTACATGGAAAATCATATGAGATTTATACAGAAAAGAGAAGAAAAAGGAAAGAGCATAAATAAATAAATTAAAGCCTGTGCATACCTCCAGAGTGGGGGGTAACCCCTGTTGTAGACAATAAATAAAAAGCGAAAGAGGAGGATGCAGCAACTAATATATAAGATGGGATACTGTATGAATGAAACAATATCTGTAATATGACTTAACTTTTAAAAAGTAATACAAATAAAAAGTCCAAAATAGGACTGTGTACAAACATTGAACACCTAGTACTATGTGCACAATATTAATAACGAAAAAGTACCAAAACTAACAAAAAAATATACAAAACATCAATCGTTAAAGAATCACTATAGGGTCAGGAACACAAACATGTATTCCTGACCCTATAGTGTTAAAACCATCATCTAGCCCCCCTGGGCCCCTCATGCCTCCATAAATATAGCAAAATCTTATTTTATTCAAGTCATAATCTGTAGATCTGCATGCTGTTTGCCTAAAAAAAAAAAAAACTATCAGTCTGCTGACATCATCAGAAGTGGTAGCCTGATCCAATCATAATGCTTTCCCATAGGATTGGCTGAGACTGACAAAGAGGCAGATCAGGGGCAGAGCCAGCACAATTCAAACACATCCCTGGCCAATCAGCATCTCCTCATAGAGATGAAATGAATCAATGAATCTCTATGAGGAAAGTTCAGTGTCTGTATGCAGAGGGGGTAGATACTGAATGTTTGGATGCATTTTAGGCAGCCATGACCCAGGAAGGATCTCTAACAGCCATCTGAGGAGTGGCCAGTGAAGTTATCACTAGGCTGTAATGTAAACACTGCATTTTCTCTGAAAAGACAGTGTTTACAGCAAAAAGCCTGAAGGTAATGATTCTACACACCAGAACAAATTCAATTAGCTGTAGTTGTTCTGGCGACTATAGTGTCCCTTTAAAAACAGCTAAGCCTGTTCCACCAATATCTATAATAAGATAGGTTCCAAAGCAAAAAATCTGACTGATATACTTGAGTTGTTAGCCTGTAATAATGGTTAAACAGGGTAACACATCTACAAGTAGTTGTTTAGTAGATAAACATTCCTTTATTGGTATAGACTTCCCTGCAGTATAGCATGGAAAATCCTACAAACCCTGCACTCTTTCAAAGGCATAGACTTTCAGACTATTTTTGGGAATGTGTTGTTCACCTCTTGGTTGTACTGAATGAGCCACAGATTCTTATTTAAATTAACATATTTATTAATAAAAAAGGTAAGTTGCTTTACTGTGCCTGTGCTCTGTCTATCTGGTGCCTCTAGGACTGCCTGGGCCACAGTACACGTATCAGGGTAAGATATATATATATTACTATCTCAGCTCAGCACATCTTTCTTTTTATAAACAAAACATATTAATAATAGAACAATTGCTGCAAATACAAGATGTCTACTTTATGTGACATGAAAAAAAATCATCATATAACGCAAAACCGAATATAACAAAGTTGCAGTAAAAGTGATTTTAGTGGAAATCTGAAGTTATAGGGACATTAAAGTCACCAGACAACTTTGGCTTAATGAAGCAGTTTTGGTGTATAGATCATGAAACTGAAATCTAACTACCCAATTCACTGCCATTTAGGAGTTAAATCACTTTTGTTTCTGTTTATGCAGCCTTGGTCACACCTTCCCTTACTATAACTCACAAAGCCTGCATGAAAAAAAATGGTTTCACTTTCAATCAGATGTAATGTACTTTAAAAGTTTTTATCTTCTGCTCTGTAAATTGCATGATTTTGCCATTACATGACGAAAAGTCATGATTTTATTAAAGACATGGAGGCTCATATTGCATATCCCTTTCTTTACTGTCCACCAATAGCAGCAAAGGATATAAACAGAATGAAAAAACAATGAACATACAGTGACATAGGCCCCTCTCTGCACAGGTTCCAGTATAATAGGCAGCACTTCCCTTCCATTTCCCTCTTTCTGAAGATGCGACACTATACACAGAGTCCAAAACAGGAACAGCAATATAGTCCAGAGATAAACAAAAACGTAGAAACTTCAACCCCAGAGGAGGATCATAACCTCAATTAACATGGAAGCACAACTTGATGACTGCCGACCAAACTGTATTCGCAGGGAGCGGTCTTCACATGTCAAAACCAGACATTCCACCGGAGCGGATTAGGCTGTTAAAACATAAAGAACAGGTACTTGAGACTGACATCAAGGCTAGACAGAGCAAGGCCCAACCAACATCTGCAGAGAAATAACCAGATAGACCCAAACTGACATAGTTACATAGTCAAATCCCTTCAAACACAGATCCCACTTACCGTACCAATCAAAGTGATACGTGTCACCTATATATTGAAATAAACTGGGGGGGGAAAAAACAAACAAGTCATAACCTGAGCAGTATAAAATGACTTTTCGTCATGTAATAGCAAAATCATGCAATTTTATGACAAGACACGGAGGCTCATATTGCAAGATTAAAGCTGATCGACTACTGCCGCGAACATATGAGTAACCGGTTTGAAGTAGAATTCCCGAAAAAACGATTCCCTTGACCAGTCGGCCATATTCATGAGGTCCTCCAGGCGCGCGCCTGAAGCCATCATTGAAGATTCCGAGGCCCCCCTCTCCGCTCCAAACCTGCAGGAAGGCATCCACTGCCTCCGCCGCCGGATCCGGCCTCCAGCTGAAGAATCGTGGGAGCTGGGTGTTGAGCCGGGAGGCGAATAGGTCTATAGCAAAAGGTCCACAAAGAGACGATATACTGGAGAACACGTTCGTGTCCAATTTCCAGTCGTTGGCATCTGATAGATATTGTGAGCCCCAGTCCACCTCCGTATCCACTAGGAATCCCAAGAATTCCATATGAGTGGCGGGAGTCAGGCACGACTTTTCCTGGTTGATAATGAAACCGAGGCGAGAGAGTAGGTTAATTGCCAGCCGCAGGTGTGCCAGAAGTATGGAGCGATCCTGGGCCATGAGCAAGATGTCGTCTAGGTATATGATTAGATGAATGCCTCGACTGCGTAGCCAGGCCATAGCTGGGCGCAGCAGTTTTGTGAGGCACCATGGTGCTGATGACAGGCCAAAGGGCAGGCATGTGAACCTCCAAGTCCCTGTCGGCCAATGGAAATGCAGGAGATCTCGGGATGCTTCAGCTATAGGCACGGTGAGATATGCATCCTTGAGATCCAGCTTTACCAACCAGTCCCCCTGAAGGAGTAGATCTCTCAGCAGATGGATACCCTCCATCTTTAAATGGCGGTACCTGACCATAGCATTGAGTGGGCGCAGGTTTATGACTGGGCGCATTTGGCCGCCCTTCTTTCCCACTAGACTCCCGTGGAGCCTGGGGGTGCCCGTTCTATCGCTCTCTTGGTGAGGAGCGAGGATAGCTCGTTGTCGATCGACCTGCGATCCCCGAGGGAGAAGCAGATCGGTCAAGGAGGAGGGATAGTAACAGGGTTCCCTACAAGGTCTATGTGGTGTTTAGTACCCAGGGGTCGGAGGTTATTTGTGCCCAGGCTGGGAAAAAATGTCTGCCCCCTACATAAACATGCAAAGAAACATGAGGTATGAGTAAACTCACCCTGGGGAATTCTGGAGCTAGTGTTACCACGGAAGCCTCTGGATCGCCATGGGCGTCCTCATGATGGGAAGAATGGGGAACGGGTACTTGTCTCCAGGAAGTTGGGGCGGTGCTGAAAAGAGCCTCGTCCCGAGCCACGGGACTGAAAGTAGGACCGGCTGGACAGATGGCTCCTGGATCTGTCGGCCCTGGTGGAGACCCGTCCCTGAAAAACCCGTCTCATGGAGGCTTGGGCCTTGTCAAGGGCCGTAAATGCCCCCACAAAGCGCTCCAGGTCTTTTATGAAGGAGTCACCAAATAGTAATCCTTGGCGTCCTTCCCAGCCTCTGTTAGGGAAAGGTTTGCCAGTTTAGGCTCTATTTTAAACAAAATGGCTTTACGCCGTTCAATAGAGAGGGAGGTGTTTATGCTCCCGGCAATACAAATAGCCCTTTGGACCCAACGGAGGTCTTCGGGGTCAACCATACGGTTTCCAGCTCTGACATCCTCCGCCAGTTTGAAAAGTTTTGCAAGTGGGCCAAATATGTCTAAATGTTTATCCTGGCATTCTTTCAGTGAAGAGTCTAGGCCCTTACGTGGGTTCCAGCCCAATTTAGTTAGGAACTGGGTCATTTTCGGATCAACTTCAGGGGTATCACAGACTTTATTTGACTCCGTAGGCCTTGGGCACTCTGCTCTCAGTTTGTTCCGTGCCGCTTTACTAAGCGGGGGTCGTACCCTATTTCCAAGGTACTTGGCTACATGGTCCGCTGGGAGCCACTCCGCCGACCTCGGATGGTGAAGCTCAACCGGGTCGAAGAGAGGTTCACCCATCGGATCCAAGAGGGTGGACCCCGCAGTTGCCTGAGCAATGTGAAGGAGGTCAAGGCTCAGTGGTCTCAATATCAGAGTCGTCATCTGACTCAATCATAGCCTCTTCACCTGACCCGATTTCTGAGTCGGAGTCACTCTCAGGTTGTGCTCTAGCACATTTCCAGAGCCGCGCCCGTTCTTCCTGGAAAAGGCTCTTTGGGTGGTACACACTTTCTGAGGTGACCGTAAGTACGCCAGTTGTAACAGTTCTGGAGGCAGAGGGGTGTTTGGACTTATGGGTTGCCTTCTTGGGTGCGCCCTCAGACAGGTCCACAGTGGGACGCAGAAGAGGCGTTGTGAAACCTGACATTTGCGCGTCCAAAGGACATGGCAGGAGGGCCTGGGAGATGGTATGGGAGAGGGTAGAAGACATGGACCCCATGGCTGCTATAATGGCATCTGTCATCGAGCACTGTAGCGCCAACAATTGGTCCCCTTCAGGTTGGGTGGGTCTATCTGCCAGAGTAGATGGCGTGTCATAGATGACAGGGGTCTCTTCCAGAGGCAAAGGGGCATCTATCACCCCAGAGGGTGGTGAGCTGGAAGGCATCCTGGGTTTGGGCATATTGGATGCAGCTCAATATTCCTACTAGTGAGTTTACAGGGTAGTAAGGGTTAGTCACCCAAACTTTAGGGAAAGAGAATGATAGGGATCTCACCAGGGTCCAGACCAGAGGCACACAGACACACACGAGGTAGTATGAGAGACAGGAATTCGGAAAATGGCCGCCGCGAGTCTTGCGAGATTCGCAGCAAAAAACAGTGAATTCGTCAATAGAAAAGAACCGAACGTGCGGTAAAATAGGCGAATTCGTGCGAATAAAACAGACGAATATAAAACAGACGAATGAGTAAACCGCACGAACCAATTAGTCGAACGCGGCAAATAGGCGAATGTTGCTACATGCCGGTGAAACTAACGAATGGTCTGTGTTCGTGAATTTAGCTGGATGGTATGATTCGTACACAAAACATCTGAACAGAACGGAGAAAATCAGCGCAAAATGGCGCCAGAGGATAGGGAGAGGAGAGATAGCGAGAAAAGAGATAAGAGCAAATCATATAAAAGCCAAACTGAGAGTGCACAGATAGACATTTCACACAGAAGGTCTGGAACCCTGGGAGACAACAATATGTATATACAGACATATAATAAACATAAATAGATGAGGAGAAAAGATTCCTGAATAGAATCAAATAAAAGAATAGTATTGAATTTGTCAATAAAGAAGAAGCAATAGAACAATAAATTACAATAAATAGCAGAATTAACAACCATAACTGACAGAATAAATAAGTAATCTATGAGAGAAACATGTGAGCTGTTACTTATCTTTGGAGCAGCAAAGAAAGAGGGAAATTGAAGGGAAGTGCTGCCTGTTATACTGGGACCTGTGCAGGGAGGGGCCTATGTCACTGTATGTTCATTGTTTTTTCATTCTGTTTATATCCTTTGTTGCTATTGGTGGACAGTAAAGAAAGGGATATGCAATATGAGCCTCCGTGTCTTGTCATAAAATTTAAGATTATGTTAGCTTTAGTGTACTTATAATCTTAATTTTAATAATGACAAGAGGTGAATATTTCCCCTCTCTGTACCTTCTTGTTTTCCTTCTCTGTCTCCCTCCCTGTATTTGTTTATTTATGCTATGTACATATTATGCCAACATTTTCCTATCCGTTTGGGGTTTTGGTTTAGTATGGGACCTTATGTCCAGTTAGTTATGTTAATTGGGGGTGGATTTATATTGGGTTGTATTCTGAATTCATGCAACCCATTCCATGGACAAAAACTTTTTATACTCTTTCAGCGTAACTGGACACGACAGCTAATTTGAACAGTTCGGTTCGTGGGATGTTGTCCCTTATGTTCATTGTTTGGATTTGAACACATCGTATTTCATCAGTTAAAATGGACTTATGGACTTGTGATGTCACAGTTGAAGATGAAGTGCTTCAGTTATACAAGCCTTATATCTTAAATCTTATATCCATTGATTGTATTTGATTGGTTCTTAGTTTTCTCATTACTTTTTTAAAATTAAGATGATTAATACACTAAAGCTAACATAATCTTCAATTTTACCACATTACAGTAGGCCTCATATTTTGCAATTTCAAAGCTAGGATAGGAGAGAAAAGGCAGGATTTGAAGTAGATCAGAAACAGACCGTTCGAAAAGTAGATTCACGTGTCCAATCTGCCACATGTAGGATCTCTGGAAGCGAGGCACCCACCACCAAGGCAGAGGAAGCCGCCGCTCCACGCATTGAATGTGCTCTATCTCCACTACCGGCAGTAGCCAACAAGTCCATCTGGTCAGGGTCATGACCAAAACTGGGCCATAAGGTCGAACATAGGAAATGGGAAGTTGATGGGAGGAAGAAGACTGAAATGTGGCGATAGCCTTCACATAACAGCGAAGAGCCAATAGCACGCAGAGTTTAGGGTCTGAGGGAACAACGTGAAACTTGAAAGGTAACTCCATCTGGGCAAAACACAAACGCATTTGCGTCAAATGCCTGAATGTCCGAGACTCGACAAAAGTAGACCAAGCAGAGAAGAAAAGTAAACTTGGCTGTAAGTAAGTATAGCCTGTCATTAGGTGGCCAGTTGCGTAAAAATTGGAGGACGATACCGACGTCCCACAACCGTGCATATTTAAGTCCTGGATGATGACGCAGATGCATGCTGCGAAGAAGATGACAAACAAGAGGGTCCTGACCTATGGGAGGCGAATGATAGCCTCCGAAATGGTTCATCGCACCACGTTAATCGGGCTATATGACCAGTCGGACCAAGATTGCCAGGCAGAGAGGTAGCATCCTTGTTCCCGGTACCCAGGAGTCCCATAAAAGGTCCTTAGCATCCTGCGATAGGTCTCTGACACTTCAGGAACCACGGAAAGCATCCAGGCCACCAGTGGGAGACGTCCATCCAAGTGGGTGCCATTGTTCCATTGGGTTCCTGAATATTTTCGGGTCGGATGGCAATAGGAGGGGATCCTCGTATGACAATTCCAGAAGTTCCAGGAACTGAGGTAAGATTGTAGGCGAACCTGGTGGAGGAATTTTGCAATCATTGTGAATGGTGGAAAAGCGCTGCAGACCACATGGTACATGTCTTGTGATCTCCAGTCAGAGTGTTTTGCTCAAGGTCGCAAGACACCTCAGTCACGGCAGACTGAGACGGAGGGGCCTTGCACCCAGCGGCATACAGGGTAAGCTGCCGAATGCCCTCCTGTGTCGGGCCCTCCTCATTGACAAAAGACCAGACATATCAGTTTGCCCTATGGGGATTAAGCGTCCACAAGGCCCCAGACCATGCAAGCCCATAGGCAGCCACTTAATTACCTAATTACAGAGCAGCCTCTGTCGTAGTGCTACTGGCACTTCGCGAGGAGCATGAATCACAGACATTTCTCCAGGCTTTAAGGCAATTTCATATTCAATGGGAAGTTTCCCAAGTCCACTGAAAACATCCTTATACTTTTCAAGTAAGGTAGCAATATTTTTGTGTTTCATTTCTGTAATCTCAAAGAGCTTGGTGACCAGACCTAGGTGTTGTATAGCTTGCAATCCAATTAAAGGAACCTTTTCTCCAGAAACTACAACAAACAGGTGTTTTGTGACTGAGGAGTTATGCTTTAGGGTCAGTATGCATTGACCCACAATTGGGATGTCAAGATCATTATACTTTAGTTTGTTCTTGAAGTTTAATTCTAGGTTGTAGTTTTTTCCAGAGAGCCTTTGATATAACATTGGGATTTATTCCTGTATCGTCTTTAAATGGTATCAGTACTCCATGTGCTTCCACCTCTACAATCCATTCTTTAGCAGGCATAGATACTTGGTTGACTATGTCCACAAAAAGATCATCATCTCTAGAGCCAGAGGTATATGTTTTAACAGCACAAAGCTGACACTGTGTAATTTTCTTACACTGTGAGACAAAGTCATTATAATTTGTGCAGTTCCCACATTTCTGTCCATATACTGGACATTTGCGAAACTCTTGATTTTTTTTTTTTTTAGATTGCTCTGTTCTTTGCATTTTGTATATCCACTTTAATCATCTGTCTCCTCTCTGACAGGTGTAGAAAAGACTGTCCTTTTGAACATGCAGGTATGTATTTTCTTACATCATTAACCACTTCCTGACTATCTTGCTTATACAAGACACCCAATTGTATTCTGGTCTGCTCTGCAAGCCTATCTTTGCACCCAGCGGCATACAAGCCTATCTTTGATTAATGATTCTTGCAGATAGTTACAAGACCAGACCTGCTTTTTAATCTGAGGTCAGTGACAAACTCCATCACTGTCTCATGTGGTAACTGCACCGTGCAGTTGAACATAAAACATTCATATGTCTAATTTTTCTTTGGTGTACAATATGCAGCAAATCTTTTCATAACATCTCATAGTTTTCAAACTCAGTTTATGTCAGTTAAAAACTGTTGTATATATCTGTAAAATCTTGCTGGATCGTCAGTGTTAAATCTTCTTAATTACCTTATTTTCTTCTGTGATTGATATATACGTCTTTTACGCCAAATGCTCGCCACATTAATATATGTCTATATTAATGAAAATTACTAATACGCAATCTGACTTACGGTTTCTTCAGGTTTATTCTTAGTTACTGATACATAATAAAACAACAAACAATGTTACAGGATAATGGACGTTCAACAGCAGATGGTAATTGCTGGACTTCTGATGGGAGAGTTACATCGTTGTACAGGAAAGAGAGCCAAGAGAGACAAGAAGACCTCGTGTCCCTTTGTTCAGTTACTATATAGAAGTGCCCCTACTGACATCAGAGTTTAACTCTAGCCATTTAAGGACAAGACCCTTAATCCACATTCCAGACTTCTCATACAAGAAAACCACATCTGTTACTTATGCCAATCCAGACATCCATATATAATCGATAGAAACATAGAATATGCAATATTCTACAATATCCAAAGTATCTGCACCAGCAAAACATAAAAGTAATGCTTCTTTCTGATCACTTGGCAAAGTGCTTGTGTTTGTTGCTTTCATATAGAGGCCAAACCTTTGCTTGAATGATCTCCACACTTTCTCCAGATTACCCAGGGGTGGTACTAATGCAGGTATGGTCCAGGTGCAAGAAATTATTTTGGCTCCCCACACCAACATATTCCGCAGGGATGTAAGCATATTTATTAATGGAATATGTGTGTGTGAAAAAAAGACGTTGGTTTGTGTATTGTGTTGGCATTTGAATGCATTTGTGTGTTAATCTGTACTGTTGCAACTTAAACGCAGTGGTGTACATGTGTAGTACATTTGAATGCAGGGGAATGTTTGTGTGTAGTTTGGTGTTTGTACGCAATGCTGGTGTTTTAATACAGGAGTGTGTTTGTATGTAGTGTTGGCATTTGATTGTAGGGCTGTGTTTGCATGTAGTGTTGGCATTTGATAGTAGGAGTGTGTTTGTACATACTTTTGATGTTTGCATGCTGGGATGTATGTGTGATGAACGCCCCTCTGCCTGGACGTTCGCCACGGGCTCCTAGAGGAGTGTGGACGCTAGCCTCCTGCCCACTGACTATGGGCCATATACAAAGACCCTGTTCAGGAGTTAAATCTCCCCAACCACCATTAGTGGCTTGCCCTGGGTGTCCATGGTTCGGCATTTTCCGGAGCTAGAAAAATAACCAACTTGACCGGACAACCAGAAGCCAACCCATTGGGATCTAGGCTGTTCCCATGGAACTGGGGGGGGTTACCCTGTTTTGTGTGGGAGTGTCCTGGGAGTGTTTGCTATGACTCTGAAATGTATAAAAGCAGGCCATTGAGCCTGGATTAAAGAGATCATTTTACCCCTTTATGAAGTCTAGGCTCATGTTTGGGGGATTGGGAGCTATATTCACACAAATAATCACTACTACGCTAGGGACATGGGAGATTCTTCACGGATGTACTCAGCTGGAGTACTTGGAATCATTACAATGTGCACAAATGTGGCCATACACAGTGACATAAAGACAAATTAACACACATGTACCCACACTGATACACACCGATACAGATACAAATACAAACATAAACCTACACAGACACATACACACAGTTACAAACATATACCTTCACAGATACATACACTGGCAAACACAGATACAGGCACATAAACACACATTGGCATGCACACAGATACAAACTTACCTACACAGGTGCCTACACACACTGGCACACATTCAAACATATACCTACACACATACAGATACACATATCTATATACACACACTGGCACAAACACAGATACGCACATATACACATACTGGTGCACACTCAGATACACACAATTTGTCACACCCTCAGATACACACATATGCCTGAACATACACACAGACAAATTGCAATTTGCATATTATTACCACCCCTCTCAGTCCTACCAGCCCACACGGTCTGTAGGCTGCGAGGAAGTGACAGATAGTCTCTTAATCCCAGCACTCTCTGCACATATTCAAAGGGCCCGGTCCGATCTGACTAGTGGGGAGGGGGACCTGCCTGGATTCCTCCAGGCATTGCCAACACTTTACTGGTCAGGCTCTTAAAGGACAACAATATTCAGGGAGTGGCACAGTGCACAAGAAACCTGATGGGCCCACAAGGCATGTGGGCCCCAGTGCAGCTGCTCCACCTGCCCCAGCAATAGTTCCGCCACTGAGATTACTCACAAACCTGATTTAAGAAGGTGCTTCAAACTACCTGTTCTCAATGGTACCATGTGTTGTTCAGTTTTTGATTGTACTGAATGATCCACAGAATCAACATATTTATACAACTTTGTATTTATTACACTATAGAATCCATTTAAACTGCTTTACTGTGCATGTGCTCTGTCTATTTGTTGACTTCTTGGGGCACAGTTCACTTCTTGTTATGCAACAGGGTCAGATATGTATTATAGGCTCTGCTCAGCCCAGGGAATAGGCAAATCAGAGGCTTCTCATTGAGAAATATAGTTCATTGAGAAGGGGGGAAGGCAGGTTCTCTTCTGTTGGCTCCACAGAGCTAAGTGAAGGAAAAAAAACCAAAAAAACCTCACGGACTGTTTAAAAAAATGCAAACAATTAACAGGCTCCAAACAAATAATGAACAAAAGTTATTTATCTATATGAAGTGTTCCTTTAATACCAGACATTATCATTTGTAAATAAATAAAGCATGTTTTAGTAAACCAGTATGTCACAGTACATTGAAAACACCAGCACTTCTGGTAAAACACATCTGCATTAATCAATATCATGATATTGGTACAAGTGGCTTCTACCTCTTGTTCTCACAACAAAAGGTACCTGGAGCATGGTGCAGTTACCATAGTTCCTTAAACCAAACATTGTCCAAGCATGAGGACGTTCACTGAGCTAAACTGCAGGAAGCGCCTCTAGTGACTGTCTGGGATAGTCACTAGAGACAGTCTTACCCAGCAGTGTCTAAAACTGCAATGTTTTACATTGCAGGGTTAAAGGGGCAGTGACACTGCACCCAGACCACTTCTACTAGAATAAGTAATCTGGGTGCCTATTGTCTCCCTTTAATGTTGTGTCACTGAATCTAAAAAATAAAATACTTCATTTGTATTAACATTTTCCCTACAATATTGGCCTTGGATAACTCTAAAATTAGTACTCAATATAGGTTCAGAATTTAGAGACTAAACACTTCGACTTAGAATATTCCACTTAGAATATCAATATAACATAAACTGTAGCTCTATGAGACAAACATTCAAGATAAATTTTATCTAGGCATGGGAGAGATCTCCATGTCCAATTTCACGGCAAAAATAAACTGTGCTTTGACAAAGGCTTAGTTGGAGCCACTTTACTTATGGTGGTGGTGATAAAGGTGTTTAGTAATTAAGGAAGGCAACAGACTTCAATTATTGTTGTAGCCATATAAGAGCTGATTTTGAGAAACACTGGCCCAGGTAAAATGTTAAATATAAAACAGTGGCATAATGATTATATATAACAGTATTTACATACGTAAAATTATCCCAATTTTCATAGCAAAAGCATTATCAAGATATTTGTCACAAGGGAGGATGCTGAGTCCAAAATCTTGAAATGGATCTGTAAACAGAACAGATTAAAGAGCATGTAAGTACATCAATAACATACTATTAAGAATTGCTTTTTTCATGTACTTAATTAATTTTTTCACGATCCATTCTCATTTTACAGATACGGTGACCTTGTGTTAATAGTGGCACTTACAGAAGTGTGACTTATACCCAATTATAGATTCCTTCCAGGATCTTGTGTAGCTAATACTAATAGGAGATAAGAGTAAGTACATGCATATAAGGTTAAAATTGGCCCAATGCCATAAAATCCCTTATTAGATAGGCTTGTCTCTAATTAGGGCAAAACATCAAGTTTTTGGTCTTTAAGTTCAATATTTAACAAGTGTGGTCATTAGGGATTTCAAACGGGAGACATGCGCTGATTTCATTATGGTACATGCATCACCTTTCATGGTAATCGTGTAAAACTCAACCGGTATAGTAGATAAAGTTTATATACAGTAGCGACACAAACTTGTTCAACCCCATTTGTATTCTGAAAGTATCTGATATAAATTCCAGGATTGCATGATTTTGCAGGATTGCATGTATTTAAAAGGGACACTGTAAGCACTGTAACTGCTTCATGTCATTAAGTGGTTATAGTGTCTGGAATCCTCTGGTGTTGTCCTTACATTCACCGTTAAACAGTTTTTAATGGTTTAATGCTATATGAGATTCCCCAGCAGCTCAACCTCTCTGTTGTTAGAAGCCAGGGACTTTCATTCAAAGTTAAACTGTTTAAAAATGGTTTAATGCTGAATGGAGGGACAGCAACACAAGACTTAGGCACTGTAACCAAGGAACAGAGATAAATAGTTATTGTAACTACAGTATCCCTTTAAAGTGTGGCGAAGGTACCCAGGCAGGGTACCAGGCGGTCCGTCACAAATGGTTATAGTGACTACAGTATCCTTTTAAGGTGTTGTGGGTTTTACCAGGGTTGAAGGATTGTTGTGAGCTCTGAACTGGGTGTTCTAGTTGGGATTGTAGTGTAAACATGAAATAAATTGTTTATTGGATATAGCATAAATGAAATACGATATGTAATATAATGTGTTAAAATTGGTAATGACATGATATCAAGGATAAGGGGTCAGTGGAGCCCATTAAGAACCTGTTCCTACCGTCAAGGCAAACATCTCTTTATCCCTCACAGCTGGAGCAAATGGAACTGCAGCCAAAGTACCAGATCAAACCCCCCTAATCACAGATGTACAAGGACAAGTAGTGCACTCTCTGCATTATTAAAACACACGGAGCCCGCTGTTCACAACTAGGTTTACGAAAGGGGGCTACCTTCCAGTGCATTCGCTGAGTTAGATAGGAGCTGCAATTACAGACAGCAAGTCTCGCCATACTCAACCATTGACAATTTGTATGTTTTCATCTGTCTCTTATTGTATAAACTTCCTACACATGGTTTTCTTTTTGAATAAGTTTCATATTTTTGTACAAGTATATTTGCTTTCTTCATTTTCTATATGTATTAGTTTTGTGAAGTGGGAGTATGTATCTCAATGTATCTGTCCATGTGTGCATTTGTAACATTAAAGGAATATTGTTTTATACAGAATATGCATTTTAACTGCTGATCTGCACATTGTAGTATGGAAAATGTTTTGCTCATGCTGAACTAGCAGTTAATGCTCTGCCATTGTCTGCCCTTGGTTAAAGCAAAGTATTGCTTGTGCTATGACTTATCCCCAGTGTGACATGAAGTTATTAAAAACTATAGTCAGGTATATGCAGTGATCATTCTCAAACATGGAAGGCAATTTTCAGTGAACTCACCGCAACTCTTGTAATATGATTCTAAGTCCTTTGTCTTGCAGAGTGTGTGTGTAGGCCATTCTTTATTTTCTCCTGGACAAAGTAGATTTACACCGAAGACAAACACAATAACTGTTTTCATGGTACTCCAAGTCTTCTTTCGTCTTTGCTTTCTGAATGTTTCTTAGCTTTTATTTCCTTGTTTGCATTATGTGTGACCAAGCGTAATTTTGCAAAGTTTCTGTGAAATACTGAATTCTGTTGCAGTTTATCCTAACGCTGTGAGAGTTCTGCGTTTATTACACAGTATATACAACCATTTCATTTGTTGTTCCCCAAATCAACCTTACTTTCACTTCCTCTAATAAAGTTTCATTATTGTGGTTTTTTTTTATTTCCTCATGCAATGAGATCTCTACCAGCTCTTTAATTTGTAATATGCATTTTCCTATATCTACTCAGCTGGACAGGCATATAGTCTGATAATAGTGGTATCTCGTGAGTATTGCACACATGTTTTAGGTACCTGTCCCAGCAGAAAATGATTCCTACTAGGACATGACATGCACATAGTCATCCTCTCGGTATATTAATAACGTTAACCCTTATTAAAAACATATTCCCATAAAACACACACACAGTTGGGTTAAAAATTATCACAGCTTTATTAGAATTATTTTGAAATTGTATTTAATAATTAAATAAAGGTCATTGTCAACAACACTTAATGACATCACAGCACCATAACTTTTACGTATAACTTTATCCACAGACAATGACCCCACCATAAATAACATCAATACACCAATATAACCATATAACATTAATATACACTTAATTTTTAACACAGCCACCAAGGGCATCCATTTCCACGTGTAGGAGTATACCGAGATACCCCTACACACCCAGGTTCCGAGCTACCAACAGGCTGGAAGCTACGAAAACCAATCCAAACTGTTGATCCTGAACTTAAAATATATCCCACCCGCTGAGCCGACCTACCCCCAATTTCTCTCCAGCCCCCACCACAGCTCAGAACTTGACCTCCTCAAGCCACCTGAGCGTCCCCACCCCGCCTGAATAAAGCCTGCCTAAGACTGAAAACTTAAATTCAAGAAATCAATGCCCACATCTGCACCCCATCATGCCTGAAATAACCTGGAAGCATCGCTTCCAACTCTTGGTGCCAAATTACCCTTCCTCCCCAAACGACTGGCAATAAAAGATCAATATTACATCTACATCTAGCAATCGCCGTAGGATCCCTAGCATAGCGCCAATGAAGAGGCGGTACCATTTCTATCCAAATAATAATCACACCTGGGGCCAACCCCTTAATCTTATCCACATCCCTCTTCATGCAACACACCAATTCCCTCTGGGGCACCAGCCCCAGATCATACCCTCAGACGTGAATCAAAATGAAATCCGGAGCCTATCCCTGACCTAGCCTTCGAAATAGCTCAGAACAGACATCATTCCACCCAAAGTCACAGAAACCAAACCTGTGCAGACAAACCAGATCCTGCGGAAAGCCCAGCTGCATGCCTTAGTAACGAACTGTGGCTCTCCGTGCAGACCAATAGATGAAGGAGTGTCCTATCAGCCAGGCAACCCATCCTGTAGGAAGAAAGGAAACAACTTAACACCAGCATAACATATGACAAAACCCCTGTCCAAAACCCCTGGATCACACTAAACGATCGGTATGCACATAGGACCGGAACCTAACTGATTCCCACCGCCCGATCTTCTTAACACCAACTCATCACCCAACCCCAACCGGGCTGCCTCCATCGCTGCCCTGATACGAAAGGAATGCGTACCAAACTGCGATGCATCCAAACCCAACTGACCCAAACCTAGATGAAAAAAACACCAGCAAACTGAAACTTTGACAAGGAAGAACCATACACATGTAAGAAAAAAGATCCCCCAACGTTGGAAAGGACTGCTATGTACTCCAAGGCACAACCCACCGGATAGACAAGTGCCCATGGTAAGGAAAACAAAGTAATTAAGCATCCCTTACTGAAAACATCAGTTTTTGAATGCCAAGACGAATCGATACACTGTCACCCCAAACTTCCACGTCCGACACCTGGAGACCTCCTCCCTGAAGCCGGCTACCACTTTCTAGTTCACCGACTCGAAATGCCCCAAAAAATGCACAAAAGCAACTGAAAACAGTAAAACCTCATAACGAGAAAATCAAATACCCGGTAATACCCCCACAAGCCAGTGAAGCAACGCAAACAACACTGGCCTCCGAGAGTCTGGAGCCTTCTTCCCTTTCTGAAAACTCCCAGGGGCTTGACAAACCAGGAAGTGTTTCGTCAAGTCCTCCCATCCATTTAGTTTAAAGAAGAAAGCTAATGCTGCCAAATTCCGATCGACCACTGACAGAGAAGCCCCAGAAACAAACAACTGACAAAGAAACCACAACAGGACTTCAAGACAAATGTCCCCTAAATGATGCCTGCCATACAAGCAAAGGTTTCTTCCCATGCATCCCAAACCTTACTCTAGGCAGCCCACGTGCCTTGCGCCAACGAATCCCTGATCGAGCCTCCAAGCAGGAAGTCCGAAGCTGACACATTTCATCTGGACAGGCCAAACCTTCCATCTGTGCTCCCGGAGCTTGTGCTAGAAACTTCGCCAACTGGAAATGAGAAAGCGAATCAGCAATTCTGTTTAGGAAACCAGGCACATGACGTGCATGAAAAACAACATTAACCCCTTAAGGACATATGACGGAAATATTCCGTCATGATTCCCTTTTATTCCAGCAGTTGTGTCCTTAAGGGGTTAAATTTCATGCAACTCAAAACTAAACACCGAAGCAATTGTACAAACGGGAATGAAGAAGCCGATAAGTAATTCACCATATTCACGACTGCCATGTTGTCAGTAAAGAAAACGATCTTCCTTTCCTTCAAAACATGCCCGCGTTAATGATAAAGCAACCACCAATGGAAACAATTCCAAAAAGGCAAAATTCCTAATAAGCAAGCTTGTGGTCCAGTCTGCAGGCCATTTTTCTGCACACTATTGGCCCACAAAGTAGGCCCCAAAACCCACACTCCATGACACGTCAGTAAACAATTCTAATTCCAGCAACGAAACTGCCTCCTTTTGAAAGAAAGCCCTCCCATTAAAATCACAAAGGAACACCTCCCATACACCCAAGTCCTCCTTCATCAGACCCGAGGTGCGGTAAGCTCACTCCATAGGTGGCCTTGGCCAAGAAACGATTGAACACCCTACCCATAGGGATCACCCGACAAGCGAAATTTAGTCGCCCAATTAAGGACTGAAAAGGCCGCAAAGTCACTTTCTTAGATCCAAGTACTTCCGCAATGATCTCCCGAAGAGTAGCCAACTTATCCTATGGTAACGGCATTTACCAGCCACGGTATCAATTTAGAGCCTCAAAAAAGAGCCCCAAAAAACGAAGGCACGTAGAAGGCCTCAACGGTTTGTCACATTCACGAAAACGTAAGCCACCCATTCCAACGTCCTCAACCCAATCCGACAGGTATGCGAACCCGAGGGGCCGATACACAAGAAAACATCCAAATAATGTAGAACAAACTTGGTGCCCGCCCCCATCTTAACTACCCACTCCAAAAAAAAACTAAATTTCTTAAAGTAAGTACATGAGTTGGAATTGGAACATCCCATGTGCAGACAGAGCTCCATAAAGTATTTTCCATCAAAAAAGCAACCCAGCAAATGATGACACGCAGGGTGAATAGGCAAAAGCCGGAATGCTTCCACATCAGCCTTAGCCAACCACGCCCCAAGACCCGCTTTCCGAACCAACTTGACTGCTTGGTCGAATGATTCTTAGGAAACCCGAACAGAGTGCCCGGTCAATGTCATCATTTACGGACGCCCCCTTGGGATAAGAAAGATTATGAATTTGCCGAAATTTCCCTGCCTCTTTCTTGGGCACCACCTTTAATGGCAAAATACACAGATCCCGAATTGGCGGCTCATCAATAGGTCCCACCATTCTCCCCAATTGGACTTCCTTGAGTAACTTCTCACGTACAACCCCGGATAGTCAGCAATAGATCGCTGCCCCAATGAAAACCGCCCGCTCCCTAAATGGAATGACAAACCCTCTAGTAAACCCTTCCCGTAGCGCTGCATCCTCTAGGTTACCGTATCAGCTTAGCCACGGGAGCATCGCGTCGACTCTCACTGGTGAGAACCCCAGTGGCAGCGGATGTGGCACCTCCTGTGCCCCCTGAATTTGCAGAATTTCCCCATGGCCCCCCATTTACACTGCCCCTCGTTGTTAGCAGACAACGAGGCGGAAGAAGAACCGGCGCCGGCCCAAACCTGAAAGGTTGGGGCCGCTTTTTGTGCCATCATCAGCTTCATCCACAATGGCAGGTCCATCTGATTTCACTGCATACCAGAATTAGCCGACAACCATTGACGGAACTGATGGAACTGTTCGTCGTACCGCCACCACACAAGTCCACCGTACGTTCGATAGGATTCACATACCCCATCTAAATAGCAGAACAGTTGCAAGCAGATATCAGGAGATTTCCCTCCCAGCATGCTAGCCAAGATGCAAAATGCCCTTAACCAGTTGCCAAATGTTTTAGGAATTTTCCGATACCTACGCCGTTTCTCCTCCTCTTCTTTTTTCGAATCCTTCTTATCCTCCTCCTTCAAGATATTCTTCCAAGAGAGAAGAGAAAATGTTATTATAAATTCGCCCCTCCATATCCGCTCTTTCACTTCGGGCCCTAAATTGGCAGCCCAAAAGACCAACGAACGAAAAATGGACATTCTGACGAGTGGCATCAGGAATGGCCCCCAATAGCAATGCCTCCTCCAATACCGCTTCTGTGGCAACTGACCCAGATGCCGGCATGACCGTCTCACCTGCAGTGCTAATGGCCCACACTGATGTTCCCTCTGTGCCTGCTCCTACCTGTTCCCCTAACAGGTGAGCTGTAGGGCCTCCCATCCTGGCTAGGTGAGCCGTAATGCACTCTTTCCTGGCTACTGTTAGGGGATCCCCTGCTGTTGCTGCACTGCCTGCTCAGTCGATGGCTCCTGGAGTGATGGCGTGATCTCCGTCCACCAGCCTCGCTATAGACAGAGGAACCTGGGAACTTGACAGTCCTGAGTACGGCATGTCCTGCCCACCTGTGGAAGGTCACACACAGTGCGTCTTGCACCATCCCGAGCCATAACTGACACCCTGTTGTGGCTGCCAGTGACGTCGCTGTCTGTCACCATAGTCTCTTTCTGGGGCGCTCCGCACCACTACCTTGTGGGAGGAGATGCATGAGACCACGCTGGCCAA